CATAATTCACCACTATAGACACTTTTTGACAAAAATGAAAAATTACGACTTTGTGTTCTAATATAGACAATGGGTCATGTCTCATATTATTTGTTATATTTTTATTATTCATTATTTCCACTTGACTCGCATTAATAATTTTGTTCGAATAACATTTATTTGCAGTTGTACTTTGCAGCACTTCACTTGCAATTTGCAATTTCTAGTTTAAATTGTTTTCTGATTTCTCCATTGTCTAAGTTCCCCTTAAGGTAGGTTTTAGTAATATAGTACTAATAGTATTAGTAATAATAATAATAATAATAGTAGTAGTAAAGGTAATAATATTGATTTCAATAACTTAAATTGTGGGTACTGGTGGGCGATCTGTTTCCCACACCACATTTGCATTACCATCTGTGCCTTTATGCTATAAATATTACAGATACAGAATGAATTGGATGATGATGGTGATGACATTTAATTATATTGATAATGAGGATGTTGATTATGATTAAGATACTGATGATAATGGAAATTATAACAATATCTAGGATGATAACATTGATGGTAATTGTGATGGTAATGATAATGATAACTATGACAATAATGTTAATGATGATTATGGTGGTTGTGGTGGTTTACTTAAATTGCCATGAAGATAAATATTCACTTTCTTATCACTGTAACTGTCTTCATTACATTTCATTGGTAATACAAGATAATCATAATATTTATATTTCAAGCGATACAATATAATCATAATATATATATTTTAAGAAATCGTTTACGACTGACAACCGTATCGCTTGGGCACATGTCACTATCCCGCAATCTGTACTAAATGGGGAAACCAAAGAAGAGTGGTACTCACTGAGTGGGAAACAAGGGAACGACAAGGAGGGCATGATAAACGTAGTGTTATCCTACTCGGTAAGTGCAACCATGTGGAACATTTGTGAACATTGTAGATAATGATATTAATAATGTAATAATTAAAATAAAAATAATGATACATTATGGTAAAGAAATGTGAAATAATGGCAAGCAAGACGTGTAACATTTTTCTGCACCATAAATGGACTAGAAACAAACATTTTTGTACCATACAGTAGCTTAAGACTTAATGTGAAGCACCTAAGGGGATCTGTCATCCATTATGCACTACATAAAGACAGTTTTATTATTGTTTTAGTTACTAGATAATTATGTTTTTTGGGGTTTTTTTTGGTTTGTTTTTGGTAGTCTTCTTGTTTATATTCTATTTGTATTGCATTGTATAAGTAATATTTTATGTAGCCATCTTGTATGTTGCTTATTGTATTTTATCTTTGCAGGACCATATTGTAATACAGTGGTACCATCTCACCTGTATATGTTATCCTGCCTAACTATGTTTAATAAATGAAAATAAATAAATAAACGTTTTTTTTAATATATTTCTTTTTTACTGATTTTATAGCAAGTGGCAGCTTCTCCTTGGATGATGCAACAGCAATTCCCTGCCCCTCAAGTGATGGTCTTGCCCTCTGCCTATGCCTACCCAGGTGTTGGTGCCCCAATGGCAGGTAAGTCTCAAGTGATGGTCTTGTCCCCTGTTTATGCCTACCCAGGTGTTGGTGCCTGAATGGCAGGTAAGGCTCAAGTGATGGTCTCACCCTCTGCCTATGCCTACTCAGGTGTTAGTGCCCCAACGGCAGTTAAGTCTCAAGTGATAGATTTGCCCTCTGCCTATACCTACCCTTGCTCTCTGTCTATCCAGGTGTTAGTGTGCCAGTGGCAGGTAAGTCTCAAGTGATGGTCTTGTCCCCTGTCTATGCCTACCTAGGGGTTGGTGCCCCAGTGTCAGGTAAGTCTCAAGTAATGGTTTTGACCTCTGCCCATGTCTACCAGGTGTTGGTGTCCAATGTCCCTCTGCCATAAGTAAAAGTCACTTACAATTCATACCTCCCCATACAAAATCCTGTGTATGTGTCTCCCTATGTGTCAGATAAGTTGGTTGTGGTGGTGATTAAAATGGTTTCATTTCTCCTACCAATCCAATCCGATGATGATGGTTGTTGATATTTTTGTTATTTATGATATGTACATATGTGAGGTTAGTGACCATTATGAAGTCTCATAACCCATCATTAATGCCGTGATTTTCCTTATTTCTCTAGTATATCCTCCAATGCATCCCCCAGTTGTGCAGGGACCAGTAATGCATCAACAGCAGCCCCCAGCCATCACGCAAGAAGACCTCAACAGCATCCAAGAAATGTTCCCAGACACGGACCAGGAGGTCATCCGCTCAGTCCTGGAAGCAAACCGAGGGAACCGCGAGGCAGCAGTCACCAGCCTGCTCAGTATGCAATAGAAATATTTTATCAGATTAAAAACGTGTATTGTATAATATTTTTTTTTGTGATCCTATATTATATGATTTCTCATTTTAAAACAGCAAAACCAGAATTTTCTTTAATGATATTACCCTTAATTGACATTTTGAATAATGGGGTTTACTTTCTATGCTGGAAATTTATGTACAGGACACGGTCAGCTGTATGTCAAAGTAAAATGTAATGATTTTGACTAAAAATTTTGGACAAAAATCTTTCCTGTTTTTGTGTATATATATAGGGGTGTGTGTTTATGGGGTATGCCTGCCTGTGTGTATGTGGATGTGTCTCCCTATGTGTCAGATAAGCCTCAAGTATTCCTTGTATTTGAATGTACAAATTCAGAATGATTACATTAGAAACTCGTTGTTATTAAATATTATTTCATTTTTGGTAATTAAATTGTCTTTACACAATGTCAAATTTTTCTAAATTGTTATTGGTTAATTAATGAATTAATTAATTATGAATCATGGAGTTGCTACTTGTTAATGTACTTACAATCCTATCTTGATTCTTGAAAATTATGTAATTTGAAAAAAAAATAATAATTAGGAAAATGATTATATGATTGATTTATGTTTATTATCAAATACCATTTTTTTCAAAGGAAATATTAAAAAAAAAAATTTATTTATTCACCTACAAAACGGCAGCCGAAGGTGAATACTAGTATATGAAATACCTGAGCCCAAATTTTTAATATATTTGAATTATAGTTATTATGATTATATTTGATTTATAAATCAAAATTGACTGAATAATTAAAATGTGTGCCTAATGGTTTGCTTAAATGTAAACTGGTATTCATTTTACCATATACAGTTAAAATTTGTTGACTTTGCCTAATCCGAATAATTTCTAAGTCAATCTTAGTTTACATGCCAAATTGTTATTTTTCCTACTAATAACGATCTGTCAAATTTTATTTAAGTCGAACAATTTTTCAATGCCAACCAATTTGGATTCAAATTAGGCAAGTTCAACTGTAGTTATAATATTGTTAAAAGTTTATATACATTGCAGTTTAGTTTTTCAGTCTACATCGTTTTCTTGTATAAATAATTATAACAAATAATTATCAGACAGTAATGGATTTATTATTATTATTAATTAATAATGATAATTATTGTTATTAAATTATCATTATTTCATTTTCATATCTTAGAAACATGATGAAATTGTTTTGAGCTTACTGTTATTTGTGCTTTTCATAGTTTTACTATCATTCTTTTCGATGTTATTATAATTGCTATAATTATTATTGTTAATTAATAAGTAGTAATACAATTATGATAAACATGAAGTAATTGATAATATAAGTACATACAAATCTTTTTTGTTTCAAACTTATTACAAAGCATATTGTTATGATTACTGATACAAATGGCTTCTCATAAAAAAATTCCAAGCAAGCATTGGTAGCTATTAAAAGTGTTCAGAATTAAAGTTCTCAATTCACAATTAGCTGTGAAGCATTGTGTAGTGACAATAATTGTAGTGTATGCATAAATAAACTGGAGTCATCTAATTGCCATGTGTAGTTAATCCATGTCATATAATCCATTTAATCCAGGGTTGATCTTGCCCTTTATCTCTTATGTGGATAATGCTTAAATTGTTGATCAACACAATCAATCTTGAGTACACAAAGCCTTAAAGATATCAGAATAGTTTGAATCACAGTGTGCAAAACTTGCGGGTTAATCATAAAACTTTATGGCTACTGCACTGTAAATTGCGGGCAAGCCTGCTAAGGACATTATTATAGATAAGATGCAGATGAAGTAAAGTTTAAAATTATTTATGAGGTTTTTGTGAGACAAGATTTTGCTTGTGAAAATTGTATTGGAAATGAGTTGTTAGAAGTAGTAAGTGGATAAGTGTTGATATAATTGTATAGGAATGATACCAAATTGCATTCATTTTTATTTGACAACTATCTGTGCATAATAAAGTTAAATTTCATTCAAAGTGTATTGTATGTGTGTTTTTTTGCCAGTTTGAAAGTGAATTTTAATTAATAGTGCATCGTATTATTACATTTTAAGTCATTTTGAGAAGGTACACGTAGCAGTGATTTAGAACACTCCATACAGTACATAGAGAATGTGGAGATATGATTGAAACCTACAAGATACTAATGGCTTTGATGACATAAGGGCTTCAAACTTTTTCACCTTTCGCTTCAGACCAGGAGAACATTTTCTCAGAGGCCACACACCTACAAACATAGACAATACTAAAAAAAGAGATACTTTCTTCGATACAGGTGTCATAAATAAGTGGAACTCCCTACCACAACATGTTATAAACAGCACAAGCATAAACAATTTAAAACAAAACCATGACAATCACATATCCAAGAGAGGAGGCAGTCTCACGAGTAAAAACTCAATGTCTTATAGAATGTATATGGAATAAATTGGGATCTATCAATGAAGAAGGCAAATCATAAAGGGAATGCAAAACAAGATTGAGTTCTAGCCACTATCACATGGTATCTTACAAACAGTAGAGTAACACCCATTGGGGAAGGGAGGCTTTTGGCGGGCCAAAGTTCAAACGGGCCCTGGAGGAACCTCCTACTAAATGAACAGCACTCCTCGAACAATAATCGTCTAAAAAACTTGATGGAGTACTTGTTTAGTGTCGCATCTTACGTTACAAAATTTAAGGTTGGGAGGGGCGGGTTTTTTTTTTTCAAAAAAATTCTCATGATCTTTTATCATCGATTTTCCGCAAGTATAGATATCTAATTAATATGCGTGATGAAAATAAAACTTAAAAACATTGTCTTTTTTATGTACTTACTTCACTTACTTCAAAGCCGTTAGTCCACACTCACTTTAGCCTCATTATGGTTGATAAATAATACCTCAAGATGGCCGCAATGACACTCTTATATAGTAAAATTCATCACCATCACATCACCATGATTTTTTTGTCTGCAATTTTCGGCAATGATTAACTTCTGTATTATACCATAGAAAATAAAACTTAATTGTCTCTAATGCATTTACCTACTTTCTGTGCCGAAAACCACTTTTTCTCATACTTCTCAAATTATAATAAAGGCACGCGCACTCGAGTCGTGTGTTACAGATAATTCAGATGTTAGTGGGCAGAGATACCGGAATATTGCTATAAGATGTACAGTGCTCTACTTTGGCTGGTACAGCGCTCTTTCGTTAAAACCTGGGTCATTTTTATGCAGTTCATTTCAACAACCTTCAGGCATCTTCTTTACTTATGAAATTACATTGTGATCGAAAAGCGAGAGGGACCAAAATCCCCTTAAAATATGTGGGGGCGTGTCCCCGTATTTCCCCATGATCTGCGCCCTGGTAACCAGTACAGCCACTACCCGGTCCCCTCAAGGGGCGGACACAGCACCATGGTTGAAGAAATGGCTCCTCTGCCGGGAAATAGCACATGCATACTTTACAAAATGAATGTCCCTCACTTTAAAGTGGTGATAAATTTAGATTGTGCTTATAGTCTGCTTGACCATTAATACATTTGTGTCACATAACAGCCTACACTGATTCCATCGGATTCGTTTTAAAGTCGATTCAATCATTAACATAATAATAATAATTATTGATATCATCATCTCCACCATTATCATCATCATCATCATCGCCATCAACATCATCATTATCATCATCCTCAATCATCATAACCACCACCACCATCATTATTATTATCATCATCATCATCATCATCATCATCATCATCATCATCATCATCATTATTATTGTTATTGTTATTATTGTTATCATTATTGTTATCATTATTATTATTATTATTATAATTATTATTATTATTATTATCATCATCATCATCATCATCACCCTCATCATCCTCATCGTCATAAAGTAATGGCACATTAGAAAAAGGATAATTAATTGTTTTTTACACTCCAGGTGGCGTTTTACATAAACATTACTCAATGGACTACGAAGGAGACGTTACAATTAATAACAAATGTGAGTACAGTATTTAACATTTTGCATCGTTAATTCACTAGTTAAAATGGGAATTCTGCCATCATTCTGTGGTTATTATTTTGACTACGTTTTCGCATTGAAGGCATTGATAATTCCTCGACAGAAGTATTTACTGACATGCTGCATTCTATTCAACAACATACATTCCAAGTGGCTAAAAAAAACGTTATTCACAGTAAATACAGCTTGAGGCTTGTTAACTTCCGTTCCTTGTTTACATTGTAGATTTGTATCTGTGTTTTTTCATTGACAATATATGCAATTTATTACCAAGAGCCTATAATTATCTGGTACACAACTTTTAATCCTGAATAATCGAAATTTGTTATAGCCCTCAAAACATATTTTCTATATTAGTTTTAAAGGACAGCGAAAGTGATCGGGGGGGGGGGCCCAAATGACACCGTCTTTATCAATATTATGTAAATATCTTCATGGATGTGTACTTCCATGATGTCGATATCAAATAAAGCTACAGTACTACTGTAGTGACGGATCATAAACCTATTAATAGGTCCATGGACGGATCTAGAAATTCGAAATAGAAGGCCAAACATTAAAGGTGGTCCACTGATCATATGATAAAATGTAAAAACAATACAAAAAAAGCCTGAATTTGAAAACCGTTTCAAAAGGGCTCCCAGTTTTCAATAAAAGATAAGGCAGCAGATAATTTAACAGAAAATAGCGCTAGGAGGAAGAGTTTTCTACAATTTATCTGCCTTAATGAAAACCGATTTAAAAAAAAAAAATAATGTAGACCTAACAGTCCTTAATTAGAGGGATATATGGGATTGAAAAAAAAGGATAAGCCACACTTGTACGGCGATTAGAGGAGAAATATTTAGTAAAAAGTAAAACACGGCATTTCTTTTGACCTCCAAAGGGAATAAATGAAATAAACTAGAAATCGGCTTGTTTGATAAATCAGCTTAAGATATTTCCTTTAGGGACATCTTAACTTTTTTTGACTTAGGCCCCTACGACATTCTACGCTGAGATTGATAAATCCCGATCGTCTCTGGGCCCCAGTAGCACATGTTGCTGTAAAATAATCAATTAGCGTTGCTCATGTAATCCGAGTTACCATAACTTATAAACTAACATCAACTCCCTCGTCCGACTCTAGGACATTAATTTGCTGATCCAAACAAATATGTTTTAATAGCGAATCCAATTGTGGTCAAAAATCACATGGGCGAACATGTACCGTAAGATTTCTCCCCATGAACATCACCCCAGGGATTTTATTCCGGACCATGAACAGGGCTCTAGGCCTGTCGAGGCCCAAATGACACCGTCTTTATCAATATTATGTAAATATCTTCATGGATGTGTACTTCCATGATGTCGATATCAAATAAAGCTACAGTACTACTGTAGTGACGGATCATAAACCTATTAATATGTCCATGGACGGATCTAGAAATTCGAAATAGAAGGCCAAACATTAAAGGTGGTCCACTGATCATATGATAAAATGTAAAAACAATACAAAAAAAGCCTGAATTTGAAAACCGTTTCAAAAGGGCTCCCAGTTTTCAATAAAAGATAAGGCAGCAGATAATTTAACAGAAAATGGCGCTAGGAGGAAGAGTTTTCTACAATTTATCTGCCTTAATGAAAACCGATTTTTTTTTTTAATAATGTAGACCTAACAGTCCTTAATTAGAGGGATATATGGGATTGAAAAAAAAAAGGATAAGCCACACTTGTACGGCGATTAGAGGAGAAATATTTAGTAAAAAGTAAAACACGGCATTTCTTTTGACCTCCAAAGGGAATAAATGAAATAACCTCAGCCTGTCCTTATATACTCCGCAAAAGTTGGTATGCTGGGGCCAGATTTATCAAACTAGAAATCGGCTTGTTTGATAAATCAGCTTAAGATATTTCCTTTAGGGACATCTTAACTTTTTTTGACTTAGGCCCCTACGACATTCTACGCTGAGATTGATAAATCCCGATCGTCTCTGGGCCCCAGTAGCACATGTTGCTGTAAAATAATTATTTATCACTTGAAACGCAATTAGCGTTGCTCATGTAATCCGAGTTACCATAACTTATAAACTAACATCAACTCCCTCGTCCGACTATACGACATTAATTTGCCAATCCAAAAAATACATTTTGATAGCCAATCTAATTGTGGTCAAAAATCACATGGGCGAACATGTACCGTAAGATTTCTCCCCATGAACATCACCCCAGGGATTTTATTCCGGACCATGAACAGGGCTCTAGGCATCCCCTTGTTTTAGACCCCGATCAGAATTGTTGGACCCTCTATCGACATTTCTCATTTTTCCTGATTTTACGAACATTTTACTACAAAATCCTTAAATCGACAGTCTATAAAGAGTCTATGTATAAATAAGAATAGCTCTGGTATAATTTAACTGTCTATTAATTGGCAGAAAAACCAATTTGGTCATTCATATATTCAATTGCAATTTTGTAACTTACTTAAATATAATTATTCAGTAGTGGAATTATATTGTTCATCTTTCAGCTCAAGACAGACAGTGAATATTTAAATTGGACCTCATTGCGCTGGACTCCGGCCTAATGGGCGTTCCAGATGCTCATTACGGTAATTTTTACTTTTCTTGATCTCAATCCATTAAGCATTTTGAGCATCGAATAAATTCAATCAATCAATCAAAAATATTATATCATGAAAAATGTTTGTATGAAGATTATATTTATAGTATTAAGTTTATTGTTTGAATATACTGTATTTATGAATCTATATAGGCCTATTCATTTCTATCGAATAGTACACTTTTTATAAATTTTATTTACCCATGACAATCAGAATGCTAACATAATTTTGTTGCGCTATTGCGATGTACTAGTTCTACCCAATAAGATATTTAATAATCCTCACATCATTCCGTGGTATGATGATACTATAAATAATTTATATTTAATATGATAATGCTGATATAATAAAGAATTGTGAAGTACTATTATGTTGTATCAACAGCATTGTCCATTGCGATAACTGAATATGATAATGTTCAGGTTGGGGTGCTCCCCTGGGGGGGGGGCAGCCGGCCTGCCGCCCTTCGCCCGCCCTAAGTCTTTTAAAATGGTAAAAAATTGGAGAAAAAAAGAAAATTACATTCAAATTTAAAATCTGTGAGTGCCATTTGCCATCTAGAGGTGCCATAATTGAAAAGTTTCTTACCTCAGCCCCAACCATGGTAGGGCTGAGGTGGTGGGAACCCTTCATCTGGCAAAGTCCCTCCCCGTGGACCCCCTCTGTTTTAAACCACTGGTTCTGCCTCTGTTTTTATTTATATATTATGTTTTGATGATACTCCGTTATAATTCTTTCTCTGTTTCCAAATCTTTTCTCAATATTTTTCTATTCCAGTGATGTAGACAAAGAAGCCACAACTATCAGGAGAGAATATCCGGACGCAATCGTGAAAGGGCAACATAACTTACCAATTATTCATAGATAGCCAAAAATTGTGTCACTGCATCAAGCTTCCTGCCAGCTGGGCTTTCCGGGCAAGAAATTCTGGATATAAAATTCTGGACATGAAATTAATTAAAATATAGTGTAAATTTAATTTTTTAAATGTTTCCTCTGCAATAATGTTAAAAATAAATATTAGCAATGTGTAGTAATTATTGTAGGCTTTATGTTTATTAATATTGTATTAATAAACTTAATGTTTATCTTATTAATAGAGAAAGTAATCCGTTTGTTGTAAAGAATATACGGTAGGCATGTAGAATAATAAGATATAACATTTTGAGAATTAAAATCAGATTTATTGATTTTTGCCGGATGTACATAATATAGGCCTACAGTATATAAGTATAAAATGTATGTATATTATATCACAAATTAATTTCAATGCTTGAAAATAAATATCAAATGGAATGTGCATTTCTTCTCATCTTATTTAATGTCTATGTTTATTGTAATAAATTCAATAGCTAAAATATCCATATTATAAGAAGCTTTTAAGCTTAAGCCAAAAGTGAAGAATTGCTTCATCAATATGTGCTACTTTATCTATTAAACTAGCAATTCTTTCGAGGACGCCCTCAACAAAAACATAAAACCGGAAATGACGTGGTTGCTAAGCAACAAGTCATGCATAATCATGAATATTCAGTGGCACCTGTTCTAATTAGACTAACAATAAAATCTTTTTGGTCAATTTTGTCAAAACTGAGCTAAAAGTTTTTATTGTTAGTCTAATTAGCACAGGTGTTACTGAATATGCATGAGCTGTAGCCTAGCAACCGACGTCATTTCCTGTTTTGTAAAATTCGATAGCACCTTGCCTTCTTCCATAGAAACATGACTGAAAGAAAGTTTCGTAATTTGTTGGTGTCATGTGAATATATTTGGAAAGAGTGTTCATAAGATATAGTAGCCTGTAATAGTGCTATATTTGAATCGAAGTGATTATAATATATTTAATTAGATCATATAGATTAATAATCATGAACTATATAATTTTATTATTAATGCAATTACGACAAAGGAAGTACACACAATGATGTATTATAAATATACAATTTAATTTTATTTCTTACATACTCTGAAATGTTACATCGGAACTATATAAACGTAATATAGACATAATACAAAATTCTAGTTTTATATAATATAA